ACTTTGGAACACATTCCCCATGGAGGGATTCTTTCTTAGCCTAGAGACAAGAGGGAGGGACTGGTCCCTACTCCAAATGACCTGACAGATTTTGATGATCACCCCTCTAAGGCCTTACCCTCGTTGTGGAGTGAGTGGGGAATGAGATGGGAGGGGTTGGGGTTGGTGGACATGGGAGGGTGAGAGTGAGAGGGAACTGGGATTGATATGTAAGAATATTAAGACACATTTAAATATAAGAGATATATAACTATGAAAATACTAAAAGAAAACAAAGTTGAAGTGCTCTCTGCCGTCATTGTTTTCTTGTAAAACTTTCTAAAAGCACAATAAAAGCTTTAGTTCCCCTTCTCCTTTCCTTTTTAATGCACATCTTTTCTGTACTGATACAATAGGTATCTTGGACATCGTTCCCATATTCAGTTTGCCTGCAAATACCAGGAGAAGGATACTTGCTATTCTGACTTGGCACTTGTTGGTGAGCACTGGATATATCTCCCTCTTTTGCTCTGGTGCCATTATTCACAGAGTTCTCAAAATGAACTGCTGTTTGTGATGTGCAAACAACATTCCTCCAGCTTAGTCACAGTGTATTCAACCAAAGCTTCCATGGCTCTCATTGCAGCCATTCTATTCCACCTACACGTTCATTTATTTTAATAGAAATAATGAGAAAAATTTTCTGCGAGAGATTACCAAAACTGTCATACATTTGATGGTAGAGACACAGTACAGGAATCAAATGATGCCAGAAAAGAGGTAGCTAGGTGGGCTCCCAAATGTAACTGAGGCCCATGACTTCACTTGCCACAGAAAAACTGCGGTAAATGAATGACAGGAACGGCCCCTGGGTAGAAGGGTAGAGTCTGCTCTGGGAGAGTTTCTGGGATGGGGAGAATGAGATAGGGTCACCTATCACAAGGAGCACTCAGCATCCTTCTAATCTCCATCCCTTTTTCTGTGTCCACAGGACTTCATCTGTTTTCTGAAGTCACATATTTGCCATTTCATGAGAATCACAAAACATAGCTTGTTAATGTGTAGAATTCAGGATTTATTCAGTTTACGTTTTATAATCCATCATTTGGTTAAGTCAAGGCTGGGATTCAATGCTGCAGAAACCTAAAGGCAGGAACAAACTCTGAGACACGGTGCTACAACCTAGGACCACCTGTCCATTAGTGGCAGCACTCACGTTGGGCTGAGCCCTCCACATCGATCTTTAATGAAGAACAAACTTGCTCACAGGCCAATCCAATCGAGTGAATTCTTTAACCAAATTCCCCTCCTCTCAGATATATCTATGTTTTTGTCAAGATGACGAATTATAACAGTACTCTTGGGCACTCGAGTATGCTTAGGTCTGCAAATGGATGGAAGAAGTAATAAACACATTATCCATGATTGTAGCTGCTTACCCTCAGGTGTCTAGGGTCTATTTCCATATAATGTTGGAGAAATTAGACAAAGATAAAAGTGCTAGAGGATATATTGTTAGTAGATGTAAGAAGGACCTTGGAAAGGTGTTGTGAACACTGGATAAAATGAAAGGAAACTAACTAACACCGAGGACATAGATTTCAAGAAAGCTTTATAAAGAGTTGATTCTGCTATCACTTTGCCAGTATGTCCAGCAGGGGTCGCCATGAACTCATGTGTTCCCAGTTAACATTTTCCCAGCTGAAGGAGCCAGTCAGTGAGCACAGTGTGCCCATGGGGGAGAACTGAATTACAAAAATACAAGGGTCAGCTTGGATTTAGTTTTCTTGAAGACTTTCTCTCCAGAATTATCTTTGGTTTCAATAATCTATGCAATGCATGTAAGTAAAGGCTTGTGTTGTCTGTTGGTCTTTATTGAATATGTAATGATTCAAGTGATAATATTTTGGTCATGAGGTTTGAATCATGCCCATTTTCTTCCTCACCCTATATCATAAACAAATGAACCATGGGAGAACCATGACTTAAAGTAAATCTATTTTTATTCTAAGTTATTACTTAAAATGCAGGACAAAATTGTATGTAATCATATTTCCTATCTGAAAATGTTTTTTCCAGTATTCATAGAAATATTCGAGATTTGAAGTAATTAAATCACTCTAGCCTGAACTTTGTTTGCATATGGTTGTTTTTGACATATAACTTACCTAGGTATGAAATTGATATGAGTGCAGAAGGAAATTGGATTTGAGCACATAAAAATATTTTTAGAGGAAAATCAGAGCAAAACTGATACTAACAATGGTCCATTCAGCTGACAGAGCAATATGTTTCATGTTACATGGGGATTTATCTGTGTATTCTTCATCATGAGATATAAAATGCTTCCATAAGTCAAAATGTGTAGCCTTTTAGTGGCACTATTACTAACAAATCTAAACCACAGAAGTCAAAAGACACCAAATTAGACTTTTTACATAAGAGATGGAACTTGCTTTATCACTGACACATTAGGCAGAATATACGCTGAGCAATCCAGTTTCCCAGTCCTATGCTGTGGACATGGCACACCAAACGTTTGAGGTCCACATTTGAAGATTTGATAATAGTAATGTTCTAAGTCTTGATGTCCAATCTCAAATACTGTTGTGCCATTCAGTAAATGACATTGGTATCAAATGCCCTTATTGGTCACTGATTCTCAGGAGAATATGTCTGAGCCAAGGTTTCCCATTCATCACAATCCAAACATAGTTTCTAAGATGCACCTTTAGGTCAGAGGGAAAAAATGATAAACATTACCTTCTTAAGGATATTCAAATAGCATTTTCTAGCACAGTATTGTTATTCCAGAATCCTAGCCTTTAAGTTTAAATCCAGAGGGTCACCGCATTCATATATACATCTATTTGTAACAAATGACTGACCAGGGATAGTTCTAAAATGAATGCATTATTGATGTACTGTTAGGCATTATTTTATTTTTTATAAAAACATAGACAATCCATCAATGTTACACTGGTAGTGTGTATAATGTTAATAGAAATGGTAGTAGTGGTATGGAATTTGAGAGGTCTGTAAGTAAAGAATTGGATCTGTCCACTAGTAGTTGTTAATGAGTCCATAACTTCAGACCATGGTGTATCTAATTATTAGTGTTATCTGTGCTCACTGGCAGTAGCTGTTTTGTTCTTATAAGGTGGTGAAGGGTATTCAGTGTCATCTGAGAGCCCTGTTCCTCCTCCAAGAGTCAATCCTCTACTACTGTATGGAATGTGTCTCCGTATGTTCTACTGCCATGTAGGAACACTCTCTTCAGTCCATTGCTGCCTAACATTCCATGCTCTGTTTTTCTTTCCACCCACACTGGATGTCTTTCACACAGCCCTCATCACAATACTCATTCTTCATCTGCTAGACAAGAACAGCTTGGGACGTGGAACTCAGACTAGGGGCAGGAAGGGAATAAAGAAAGGACAGAATCACACATAAAAGGTACAGTAAATCTGGGATCAGGTAGGATTCTGCAACCTCTCAGCATGATTTATTAGATATAGTACAGGGGGAGGAGTTAGATGACCTCCACAAGATATCTCTGTAGACAAGCAACCTCAAGATATAAACATCCAGGAGGAGGATATCTTTTCCACACAGTGATCAATTGTTCACAAAATACCTTTCTTGGACTCCTAAGGTGATGTTTACTACCCCCTTTGAACCCGGTCCAAATCTGCAACTTGCTTTGCTAATGTTTCATGAGACCAAAGTCTTGTAGCCCTCCACATGGCCATGCCCATGTTAGCAAAATGCCATCACTCAAGACTTCATTCACTCAGGCCTTTATCTGCTTTATAGCATTGTGTTTTATCTTTGTGAACTCTTGGCGGTAATCACACATTAAGCAGACATTAATCACTGCTTTATATCATGAAAATAAGCCATGGGTCACAGAGGGATGTGAAGCTTTGTTGAACCACATATGATCTAGCATCATTTAATATTTTCTGAGAGCAAATCAACATCTGCAGAGAAAGTGTTGAAGATAACAAACAATCATGAACAGTTTTCATGAGTCATTAGGACAGGACATTTATCATCGACACTAGAGATCTAGGAAGTAGCATATACATTGTCAGGCCCAAAAGTAGAAAACTCCTCATGCTTATTCTTATATAATAAGTGAGTGGGAAAGAACATTTCAAAAAGGAGGACAATGACCAGTAATTATTTGAGGACAATAAGTTGATACTGCATAATGCTCTTATGGCTGGTCCCTACTAAGAAAAATATAATACAGTTTTACATATGTTAATTATTCACTTATTTTTATCATTTTCAAAATCTAAAGGTATATTTCACCCTATCAATAACTACATTCATCTATTGTTACTATTCTTTTATTTATTTTTATTTCTGTTTTTTTGAGACAGGGTTTCTCTGTGTTGCTTTGGAGCCTGTCCTGTCCTGTCACTCGCTTTGTAGACCAAGCTGACCTCGAACTCACCAAGATCCACCTGCCTCTGCCTCCTGAGTGCTGGGATTAAAGGCATGTGGTACCACTGCCTGGCTTATAATTATTCTTGAACATTTCCCCAGCATTGATCAATTATATGAGGGCTAACTGCAGCAGAGAATTCTGGGAAACTGGCCAAAGAACATTGTCAGGTTTCAATAATATCCACATGACCAAATGAAGGTTACTTTTAATACATCTTCCAGTTTTTGAAAATATGTCTTTTTGAGAGATGGACAAATTTCTAAGGCTAGCAAGAAATCTATGTTAATCCATATAGGAAATAAAATTCACTCTCAGGACAGCAGAGCTGGTCTGTCCTTTGAGTCCTTGAGGGGAAGTCATTATCTGCAGAAACCCCACAGTGCCCCGTTCAGGACCAGAACATTGATTCCTTCCATAGGCTGGTGCAGGGTTAGTTACTGAGGCAAGACCGCACTGCAGCTGTGCCCACATCATCTAGTCCCTGTTGATTTGCATATAGCAAGAGGACATCCCATTGTCTTGAGGACCTCTTTATAGGCTGGTCACACCCTGTGCAGGAGTCAGTCCCCACAGGACACAGCACAGACATGAGGGCTCCCGCTCACCTCCTGGGGCTGCTGCTGCTCTGGATCCCAGGTATGGAGGACAGCGGTGCCTGTCTCTGTAATAAATGCTTACTGACTTGTCAACGCCTTTATGAATTGACCTTTAAAAGCAGAATTACATATTTTTGTTGTTGTTGTTGTTTTCTTCTTTCTCAATGCCAGGTTCCAGATGTGACATCCAGATGACCCAGTCTCCATCTCAGACTGCATCACTAGGAGACACAGTCACCATCAAGTGTCAAGCCAGTCAAAGCATTGGCAACGAATTAAACTGGTACCAGCAAAAACCAGGGGAATCGCCTAAGCTCCTGATCTATGGTGCTTCCAGTTTGTATCCTGGGGTCCCATCGAAGTTCAGTGGCAGTGGTTCTGGGAGAGATTTTACCCTCACCATCAGCAAAGTGGAGCCAGAAGATATTGCAACTTATTACTGTAAACAGGACTTAAGTTACCCACCCACAGTGGAACAAATCCTAACACAAACCACAGAGCAAAATAGAAAGTGCTAGCAACCCTCAACTGCCTCAGCTCCTCATCCTGGTGCCTCTACCTGCTGAGATGAATTTGGCATTGAAGTGCATTGAGTAGCTTTGGAATAAAGGACCAAAACATTACTCCTCTTCCTCAGCCCTGGCAGCAAACGCACAACAAGGGAAATTCCGATTTGGTAAAGATACTGTTAATTTCTCAACAGCATTCAGATTATGACATCTATTTGAACTCAGACAGCAAATAATAATAATAATAATAGATTTACACAAAGATGAAAAACAAAAAAAGACAAAAAAAAAAAAAAAAAACAGAATGAGAATGAGAGTCTACAGTGAAGCCTTCTAAAGGATTTTTTATGTGAAGGACTAGAAATTAGACATATCACTGAAGCAGAAAGACAAACAGGAGCCACACATAGATAATAAAAAATAATAACTATCCAGAAGATAAAGATGCAAACCTCTGGCCACTTTCTCATATGCCTGATCTGATAGAAGGCAAAGGCCTAAAGGTCTGGCAGGCTCTTTCTTCTGCCAGCAGGGCCAACTGACTGCCATTTAAGACCAAGGCTGTGTCTCACTTATTAGTGGAAAATGGATGTAAAGGAAAGAACTCACAACCTCCAAAGCGATGTTACAATTGCATATTTGAAAAATATGCAATTTATACCATAGATCATTATTAATCACTCTTAAACTTTTCCTACAATGCCTTCATAAAGTTTTTTATTAAAAATAAAGCAAAAATAGCTTTCTCTCCATCTCACACTTCCCTCTTCCACATTCTGTCGACTGTATTCATCAGTTTGGAAGAGGAAAACATTGCATTCTCTTGTCCTCAAGCCATCAAAAACAGGAAAAGTCTGTGCATCCTATTTTTCACATTATAGGATAAATCAGTAAGAGTGTTCAAAAGCAAAAGGCTGGTGTCAAAAGTTTTTGACAGTATCAGTTATAGCATGCTGAAATAAAATGACTGCTCTGTGAATTCCAAAGTTGGAGGTGATGTCAATGCACGTGTCACGGATGCTGTCTTAGAATAGCATTGCCTTGTGAACAGAGTACTTTCATCACTAATCCAGAATTTCACACTGGTGACCTTTTTGTCCAATGCTGAAGACAAGAAGACATTTTATGTTGTTTTCCTCAAAAAAGGTAGTCCTTAATAATGCTTGACTTTTCTCAAACAGCTGTGCATGTCTGAACGCTGCATAGTTCCCCTAGGGAGATCAATCCATGCAAGTCTGAGACAAATCTGAGTCTTAAGACTTGCCTTGACTACCAATGGCTCCTCAGTTCAAATATTAAGATTGAGTCAGTAATCAGTCTTGTTTCTGAGACTCTTCATATTCTGGATGACTGATAAGAACAATAGACATGAACAAGGAGAACACAGAAGGAGGGAGAACTGTTTAATGAGAGAATGTATTTGTGTCCTTCTCAGACTGCCCATGGTACAGTCTCCTGTATAGTGCTCCACGGAGGTGCCTGCTACCTTTTTTTTTTAGCTTCAAAGGAAAGTGCAAATTGCTCTTTTCTCTTCCTATCTCTTCCTTAAGCCTGCTTCAATTTCCTCCTTGTCTTTGCTCATTGTCTGAATTTCCTCTACTCCATCCACATAGCTGCTTACAGAACTCAAAGGACCTGGCTTTCTCTCTCCCATTTCTCTTGTGTCAGCTGCTGAGATATACATTTTCTTTACTGTATTGTTTGATTCTCCAATTCTAACAAGTATGTTTGAAAATTATTTTGTTAGCATGACTTCAAATCCAAAGAAAAGACTGCAAAATTTCCTGGTTCATTCCATACTCTACTCTCTACAGTTCCTAATTCTACTTCCTCACACATGATTCTTTAGTATGGTGCTTTCATGGCATTATTCTTCTCTCTATCCAGTGTTTCTCTATTCCTTCCCTGAAATTCTACACTTACACGAGGCAGCACATACACCTATTTCAAACATTTAAAACAAATTATTACCCTTAGAAAACCCTTAGTAATCTCTCTCCTCCTCTTCTGCCTAGAGGTGGGCATGACTTGGCAGGAAAGAATAGAGGAGAACAAGAAAAGAGATATCATGATAGAGGGAGCCATTATAGGTTTCAAGGGAAATTTGGTGCTAGGGAAATGTTCAGAGATCTACAAAGATGACCCCAACTAACAATCTAAGCAATAGTGGAGAGGCTACCTTAAATGCCCTCCCCCGATAATGAGATTGATGACTACCTTATATGCCATCCTAGAGCCTTCATCTAGTAACTGATGGAAGCAGAAGCAGACACCCACAGCTAAGCACTGAGCAGAACTCTTAGAATCCTGTTGCAGAGAAGGAGGAATGATGAATAAAGGGGGTCAAGACCATGCTGGAGAAACCCACAGAATCAGCTGACCTGAACAAAGGGGCGCTCATGGACTCCAGTCTGATAGCTGGGAAACTGGCATAGAACAGACCAAGATTCCCTGAATGTGGTATTAGTTGGAAGGACTGTCTTTGGGGCCTCTGGTAGTGGAACGGTATTTATCCCTAGTATATGAATGGACTTTGGGAGCACATTCTTCCTGGAGGTCTACTCCCTTATCCTAGAGGCAGGAGGGAGGGCCTAGACCCTACTTCAAACGACTTGACAGATTTTGATGATCCCTCCTGGAAGGCCTCATCCCTCTGTGTGGAGTGAGTAGGGGACTGGAAGGGAGAGGAGTTCTGGGGGCATGGGAGGGAGGGAGGGAGAGGGAACTGGGATAGATATGTAAGATAAGAAAAAAAATGTGTGTGTGTGTGTGTAAAAGAATCCAACATCAATGGAAACAAATGTGAAGTTTGAAAACTATGACACAATACATGCTTCCTTTTACATTTAGATGAATGTCTGGGTTTCATAACACATCACTCCCATAGACTTATTGTTTGCCTTTTAAATGAATTGAACAAACACTTTTTTTTAAATTTCTAATATGTTAGATACAACCCAACAATTTTGAGCTCTGAATCAATCCTTGGGGACACTAAGACAGAACATTGTAGAATCACTGCTTCCCTGCCTCCCAAGGCACTGTTCTCTGAATCATTGCAGTCTTAGCTTTGTTTCTATACAGTCTTTCCAAGGAACTGTTTCTCTGAATCATTGCAATCTTAGCTTTGTTTCTATACAGTCTTTCCAAACCTGATTTAATGATAACTCTTTTTCACAGAAACCAGTTCTGCCAAACCCTGATGAAAAGCTTCCTGGGGTTTTCTTTCAGAATCGTTTAGAGAAAATGTGAATATTTTGGTGTCCTATTAACATGCCATTTTTCTCTCCTCTGTTATGGATCTAAACCTTATGCTTTGTCCCAGTGTTCTTCCTTTCAATTAGACTGCATTTCCGCCATTTATGTGGCTGGGTCTGCACACACGTCTCTACAGCAGGAACAGAAGTTGTTGGGTATCTATGCTCATCTTTGTGTTTTAACTCCCGAGGTCCTCTCTGACCACTGAAGTTTCTACGACTGCTTAAAACAACTCCCTCAGGCTCTTCTTTCATTTCGTCTCTTTTCTACAGCATTTACCATCATTTCATATGCTATATATTTTTACCTTTTTCAATTATGTTGTCTGTCTTCCTGCACTTTTCCCCATTATTTAAATTTGAAACAAGCTTGTTGTACATATGAATCCCAGTTCCCTCTCCCCTCCTCTTCTGCTGCCACAACCCCCATCCCATCCCCTTTCTGCTCCCCAGGGAGGGTGAGGTCTTCCACGGGGGGTCTCCAAAGTCTGTCATATCATTTGGAGCAGGAACAGCAAGGAAATTATGGTCTTGCCATCAAGGGAACATGTAGAAGTTTGATGCAAAAAGATGTGTTTTGCTCCGAAAAAATAATTCTTAAGACAACAGAGCTCTATTTATTTATTTTAGATTATACATTTTCCTTTTCCTCCTTTTATTGAAAAATAGATTTTTCTCACATGGTTATAACCTCATTATGACTTTCCCTTTCTCTACTTCCAGCTCCTCACCTTCTACAGAGGAACTTCCTCTATGCATTCTTTGCTGTGTGTGAGATTCACCCCTAATGAAATCCTTTCGTCACTGCCTGATTGTATATTCTGTGCTTTGAATTTGAGGTTCACACAGTTTCCTTCAAGAAAATCAACCAGCTGAGCCCTGACAGAATAAACCATTCTATGCATATATGCAACATGAACATTGGTTATGTTCTTTCATCACTGCGAGAAAAGAAACTGATGAAGACAACTTACAGTACACAGGGACACACACACACACACACACACACACACACACACACACACACAGAGAGAGAGAGAGAGAGAGAGAGAGAGAGAGAGAGAGAGAGAGAGAGAGAGAGAGACAGACAGACAGTAAGTGAGAGAGAAAGCTCCTTCAATCCCTGCAGGCAAAGGTTATCTATTTTTAAATTTTTCTTAGGGCGAGGAATGTCTTACACCTCTGCAGAGGGTCTTCTCTGTGGCCTTGCTAAGTTTCTCTTCTATTGACAACCTTTCTTCATGTACTGGTTCTGTTGCTGCATCTGAGATTTTCTGTGCTCCTGTTGGTTTTGCTTAAGATGTTTTCTGTCTTTTAATTCTTTAACCGGCAGAGAAAATGTACCCTATCAAGAACCCTAGACAATAATCTCTGCATGGTGTAGTGGTCACATTTTGAGTTTCAAAAAGAGAGAGGGCTGCATTTGCAAACTTTGAAAGAAAATCACAAAGATTATATATATATATATATATATATATATATATATATATATATATATATACACCTACACAGTGTTTGTGAGAAAGATATTGAGTACAAATACTAATAACAGAGTCATTGTCATAGAATTTCCCCACTGGCAAGCATGTATCTGTCACCTAAGATCTAAACTTTCTTGCCATCTAGCTCATAGAGTTGTCTGAGAAGGCCCAAGTTGATTGAGCTATAGGTTCAGTTGCTCACCTGGTGTAACTCTCTAGATTAGTAATCTTAATTAAATGCCCTACTATCCATCCTGATGGAATAGTATTG